CTCTGTGTTTGGTCTCCACCAGCTCCTGAGGGAAATATCTGCCTCTTCAGCTGCTGAATGCTCCGCTATGTCAACCAGTTCATCTCCAACTGGGTCTGTCTGCTGTTACGCTGATGAGCAGGTCGTGTACAGTGGCTTTTTACAGCCTCTTCCCAGAAGACGTCGCTATGTGAACAGTAAAGATGGGGGCCAGACAAAAAAACAATGAGCCGAAACTCACTGCTAAAGAAATTATTCAGCTGTTTTCCCATTGTTATTTGATGCATTATTATATTTTTTATATTATGAACACTTCCAATAAATGCAGTGAAGTAAAAAAAAAATAGTACAATATTTGAAATGTAGAGGCGTGGAAGTATAAAGTAACATTCAATTAAAATACTCAAGTAAAAATAATGTACCTTCCACGACTGAAAAGAAATGTCTCAAATAATTTACCGTTATGGTAGCAATGATGTTGAGTCACTGTTTAGTACCGAGGCTCACTGGAATATTGTGGGACTGGTCTGTAGCTTAAAAAGGAAATACTCAAGGACCTCACAACTATACTTAAATACAGTAATTGAGTAAATGTACTTAGTACCATGAGGGAAAAGGTGCATGAAGACAGAGTGTTGGATGCACGAGAGGAACCCGCGTTAGAAGGTAGCAGAGGAACATGGACAGTGGTGGGAAGGGATCCTACATTAGCAAGAGGAAGCATGATCCTGCTGTGAAGCCGGGCTGCGTGGGCTATATTTAGCTTCTGTTGCCATGTGCTGGGAATGTGCATGGCAGAGGCAGACACACACACACACACACACACACACACACACACACACACAATAGATGCACTACTGGTCATGCACTCCTGCACATGTGAGCATGTGTGCATGTGGAGTTGTTTGAAGGTCGGGATTTAAGTTGTTTCTCATGATTTCAGACACGAGATCATCAGTTTTCTTTTTGTCCTCATTAGATGTGAGGTGGTGCATGTAATGTACGCATGTATAGGTACACACACACAAACATGAATGTTCCCCATACGCTCGCACATACTGACACGTGATTTTTAAATCTTAGGCAATCACTAAAACTGGAGCAGGGGGTTGTAAAGATTTTTGTGCTGCATGTGTGTCTATAAATCATTCTGAGGAAAAATGGAAAGTGAAGCTTCAGCAGAAGATAGACTGAAGGAATTATGTTGGATTTCCCTTAAAATAGGTTGAGGTTGCCTGGATCTTCAATGAATTACACTGTATGCGTTAGTGTGTTTTGTCGAGGCAGCAGAAGAGGATAAAGACAAGAGAATAAAAAGATGAAACGCCACCGTTTGAGCGTGCTTTGATACATTTTCTCTTCAGCTCCTGACCTCGTACTGTTTTGCCTCTTCAAAGTTAAATGCCCATCATCACTCTATAATCTGCTTTATGCACCCATGATGTGGAGAAGAGCTACAGATCTCTCATTGGTGTTTAGTCAGTCAAGAAACAGCCCAAGGTGTCGCCATGCAAACCCGTGCAGGCTGCACCAATGAGAACACGTCAACTTCCTCTGAACCGCCTCTGATTGGCTGAGTTTCTTTAAGTCCGTTATTGTGAAGTGTAAGAGCAGATTGACATTTAATTTGGTGTGTGAAATTACAGGCTTTCATGATTCTGGTGTGCGGACAACATACATAAAGCAACACTTCAAATGAGTCACAAACAGAAGACTTTGTCATTTTACAGTCTATATCTCTGCATTATTATAGCTCGTCACTGTATGAGGTGGACCCAGTAACATACAGATGTGAAGGGCTGAGCAGGAGGACACGAGGACACAGGTCTTGAAAGAATTTAAATTTAAAGTGTGAGCCATTAAAAAGAGGTCAAAAACACAGAACTACAACAGAATCACCATTCACCATTTTCGGGAAATACTCTTACCATCTTCCAGATCTCAAGTCTGTACGCTAAATAAAAAGCAACAGCCAGAAGCCTGTTAGCTTAGCTTAGCATAAAGGCTTGAAACAGAGGGAGACAGGTAGCCTGACTACACACACCATCACGTTCTGTGCTATGTGCACAGGCTCTGAAGCTACGCAGCTTTAAACGTGTAGGGGAGACCGGGCATGGTTGTAACACTTCTTGTTTCTGTAACTATAACTCGCTGATTTTTTTTAGCTAGAGTTAAATTTTTATTCGAGTGACGATACACACGCCAACATGTGAACAATAGGTGAATAGGGAGTACTGGTCACAGTGAAATTAATGCTGGTAACCCTGAAGGGCAGGCTTGGTGGGCCCAGACTCCATAGGGCAATCTGGAAAATATTAAAATCAAGAAAGTACTTAGTTTTATGTATCTTGGATGGTTGTAACACTTTTTAAAGAAGTGTTACAACCCACCTAGTGGTTTGAAATTAGAAAAGAAACAAACCACATGTTGCCTGAGAAACTACATTTCAATCTAATATAAGTCAAACAATTTTATCTGCATTAGTAAAGTAAATATAGTCGTGGTCAAAAACTTTACTTTCTTTCCTCAAAATCAGTTTTTTCTCTATACTAATACTTCCAGGTGTAGTTCCAGAACAAATATAGGCTGGGAAAGATTGTTAAACTTTGCCAAAAGACCATTTGCACTAACTTGTGCAATGATCTTGACCATGTTTATCAAGTGAGATTCACTCGGAAGTGGCGGATCCTCGATACCCTCTTCTTGCAGGGTTTCGACTCCTGCCATCGGGGAGGAGGTGCACTTTCCCTAGCACGGCCAAATTACATTACATTTATTACATTTATTCATTTAGCTGATGCTTTCATCTAAAGCGACTTACGAGTGCTAATTATGTCGCACGCCACTAGAGCAACTAGGGGTTAAGTGTCTTGCTCAGGGACACAATGGTGGATGTGTCACAGTGGGGGATTGAACCTCTCACACCAAAGGGAGGCGTCTTATCCACTGCACCATCACCACCCTGAATCAAACAGTTATTTGAGATCATTTCTTCCGTCAGCTGTTGCACATATACTCTAATCCAGGACTGATGGACACACAGTGCTCTATAATTTATGGTAACTTTATGTAGATAACATCTATTGTATGTAATATGTACTTATGGCTTCTATTTATTTATTTGTTTTACAATGTGTTTTGATGACTGTTGTGAACTAGGCTATCAAACTAATAACTAAATATCCAGCCTTAGAACAGAGTCTTTCTCAACAGTGTGTCCAACCCTTTCTCATCCCAGCGGCGTTGCTTTTTAACGCCCTTTAGTGTAGTTTTTGTACTCCACGGTCAGGTTAGCAAGAATAAAAATGCAACGTCTGATTAGACTTTTAAAATAACAATAGTGTAAAATGTCCCAATTTGGTTAGATTTAGGCACCAAAGCTACTAGGTTAGGTTAAGGAAAAGATCACGGTGTGGGTTAAAATAACTGCGTTACTTATGTGAAACGGAATCAACGTGGACTTTTTGTTTTACGCGGGAAACAGACACAGGTGTCCTGGGTGAAAGCCCAGTTTCTGACCCATCCATCCATCCATCCACCTCAACCACCTCCTTACTCTGACATTTCTGTTTTTCATAGTATATTTTAAGCATTAAAAATGGCGCTAAAGGGCTTCCCCCAGTGTGCTGGTACCAGACCCCAAAGGTTGTGACAAAGCGTAGCTATTTGACAGCATGGGAATGAGAACAGACTGTTATGTCGAGCCACTTAATATGTTTAGATAATAGCATTAATTTATCCAGTATTTCACACAGCTACATCTGTTCTGAAGACTAGGATTTGCATTATTTTATCTGATAATTTAATCTGATTATTACACATCTAAAGCCTGACTGACCATTTGACCTTGCTGTGAAAGTCATATTCCAGCAAGAGCATAATGTCCGCAGACAATGCTCATCTAAGCTTTAATTATTAGTGTTCGCTACCAACATTCAAGCTTTTCAAACACTGATTCGTTTCCTCTCTCTCGCTCTCGAGGTGAGACAACTGAACGTGCATGACGCTGCGAGACCCTCTGCTGTATTTCCAGAGTGAAAACATGTGGGAATTAGTGAATTTTATTTTGATTTACCACCAAAGCTCACTGGACTGGTTTTAAAAGACATGTAACACGATATTACAGATGCTTACTGTGAACTTCAGAACCAGCTCTTTCTTTTTCAGGACAACTTTTAACCACGACTAAAGTTCCATGTAACTTTTGAAAGATGAAATAAAACCAAGTGTTAATCGGTCAGGTAAAACTGCAGTAGTATGTCGTGGATAATGTTAGCTAAAGTTAGAACTCTTAGATTCTTCTCTGTTTGTGCTGCTGATCTGCTGATACACTTTGTTTTAGCATTAAGCATCCTCCTGTGATTCCCACTTGAGACCACAGGGATCGTTGTTCAGCAGAATTACACATACCCACTTCAAAGGTTGCTGGTCGAAGCAAGAAGAGGTTTAAACCTTTTACAATAAAAAACAACAACACAAAATGAAGATAATGAAGCAAATACACAACAGCTAAAATTAGGAAGTCAATAAAAAATTGGACATTAAAGGCAACTGACTGTTTGTTTGGCAGAAATACACAGATGTTTAAGTGAGTTCATATATCTTAGTTAAAGCATGATTCAGGCCCTTTACTTAAGTAAAAGTACTAATGCCGCATTGTGAAAATACTTCACTACAAGTATAAGCTCTGCATTAAGGATTCTCAGCAGAATGCAGTTAAAGTATCAAAGTAAAAGTACTCATAGTGCAGTAAAATGTTCCTGTCAGTGTTTCTCTGTTTTATCTGATGTTTCTGAATTACACATTCATGTGTTTGTTGCATTTCACTGCTGTAGATGTTGAAGGTTGAGCTCATTTAACTCACTTATATCCTGTTGGGTTGTTTAATCTGCAGCAATGCATCATGGTCTATAAGATGTGTTTGTAGCGACGCTGTGCTGTGAGAACCACATATCTCTAAAGAGTCAGACAAACAGCCTGTGTTCGGCTTTGTGACGATGCATTTTCCAGCTGATTCAAAGGGGGGTTAAAAAGTTTATTTAGCTTAAGAAGAGCATAAAGGAACTCTTCATCCTGCAGTTCATTACAGACATTCATCATCACGTTACAGATACATGGTTTTAACTGGACGGGAAGGGAGTGATTCGATCAATATAAGGGTTAGAATACATTTCTGCAAAGCTGCACAATGTTTGTCAGGATTAGCAAAGGTTAACTGATACATAAACATTTCTAAAAGACATTAACCAAATCAACAAAAACACTGAAAATATTCACATTTACGCAGGCATATATAGCCCGTTACACTTATACATACTTGTGATGTTTTACATGCTTATGTTTTAAATTTCCTGTTACAGAGCAACAGAACAACACACGACGGACAATATAATAAATTGAATTTCAGGAACAATAATAACAAATAATCAGTAGTTTAGAGGAATATCCTGTTACATTTTTTTCTCTTTATTTACCAAAGGAGATGAAGCCGTTTGTCAGTGAATAAAAAGCTGTTTCTAGTAAGTTACATTAATTATAATCTCTACCTCACCTAGAGAGTATTATCACTGCAGACAATTACTCCATCTAGTGGTGATGTAGAATACAAAAAGCATCCTCAGCATAATTTACGTTAAATGGCATCTTAAACCCAGCAATACATTTTAGTTTACGCTGAAGTAACATTTTGTAATGTCCACATTACTCATCTCCAAAGGCTGGTTTTCCTCTTCATAGGTGCTAATGAACCATTTGGGGCAACTGAGAGACTCAAAAGTGGTAAAATTCGTTGCATCGTTTCTCTTGAGGAAGAGGAAACGTTTCATTTTTTCACAGTCGATGCTCTTTAACTCCTCCTCAGAGCATTGCTGCCAGAAGACATATACAAAGAGAAAATGTCACATATTAATTTTATACAAATAATTTCACGTATGGAAGCACATTTCTGCCGGTAAAATGGAAATATTTTAATTTACTATTAAATATTGAGATTAAACATATCAGAATTATGAAATAAAAGCCCAAATTTGTATTTAATAACACAAAATGATGAGGACAGAACCAGGCTAGCTGTTTCCCCCTGTTTCCAGTGTTTATGTTAAGCCAAATTACAAACAAAGAACTCTTATTTTTATAAGTGCGAGTACTATGATGGAAATATACTCCTTCTACTGCCGTCTGCTGTTTCCCTAGTGGATCAAATAAAGCCTGTTGCAAAAAATCCTTAAGTCTGGTTTGACAGTAATTTAAAATTCGAGCAGCACACCACAAAGCTTGTATTAACTTTTAGAGACACTGATACTATTTTAACACGCCTGCATTACTGCAACATCCTTTTTACTATCGACTCCAGACCATCCAGAACTCAGCTGCCTGGCTTTTAACCAGAACAAAACCAGGTAAAACACACTTTTATAGGAGAGCCTTTCCTGATTTAAGAACTGTAAGTTGAATTTCTTAAGTGTTTTCTTGCTTGTTTTATGTGTGCTTTATTGTGGTTGCACTTGTGAAAGCACTATGTAACATGGTTTTTGAAAAGTGCTCTATAATTTAAGTTAATTATTACTCAATTATAAGTCCAGCATTGAAATTTTTACTTCAGTAAACTGTGCTTTTCAAATGTGAAAAGTACTTCTTGTGAAGCGTAATAGACCGTGTGAGTGTTATATCATTATATATTACATTAATTTATTATCATTATCAGTGTTAGAGCAGCATATTATTGTTGTAGCTACTCGAGGTGGAGCTACACATCCATGAAAAAGGACTTAAAAAAAACATCAAGTGAACACAAACTTCCCTCTGATACCATAAATAATTTTCTACTTACCTCCAGTTTCAGCACAGCTTTACCGCCTTCCATGGAGCAGGACATGTACAAGTTGGTGATGGACAGAACAACGGGACTACTGTTGCTTTCACAGACGGGATAGTCGATGTACCTCGAAAGTTTAAAATTCACTAATGAAAAAAGAGAGAGAGCAATATTTAATGTTCCAAAGTACTAACACAACAATGTAAAAGTACTGACACTCATAAGTAAAGGTCTACTACAATTGTTAGAATAAATCAATTTTAGCATGAAATGGAAATATTATAGTTAAGTAGGCTGTGGTTAAGTACCTCAAAATTATACTTTAGTACAGTACTTACATAAAATGCATTTTTCTCCACCACACATGTGATCCTCTTACCTTTGTGGGTGCTGTGTCCACCTTGCAGAGTGATGGCCTGCAGTTTGAACGCTACTGAGTTGTAGATGATGTCTTTCTTACTGCGGTCGCTCAGAGTGATTGTCTTCACACTGTTGGCACGGATGTACGTTTTTTTCCTCTCTGAGCAGCACTCCTCGACAGCCGTTTCTGTGGAAAGGTGGAGGCAGATGCTTTCAGAAAAAGAAGGCACAGACTTGAAGTTGAAGTCATAATGTCACAATTTGGGTCAGAGCCTAGAACCTGCCCAATCCTCATAAAAGCAGCCAAAATTTAAAAAGAACTTTTAGGAAATATTTTTCCTTTTTTATATATACACAAGCAAGAAGCAATAAGATAAATAGTCCCCATTTCAATAAATGCAAAGACATAGAAGTCATAGAATAAAAGGACTTATAGGTAATGTTCACATTTAATGTAACACTTATATAAACAGATGTAAACTTCTGACAGAATACTAATTCAACAGCCTGACCTCACCAGAAAAACAGCCATATACAGTATCTCACAAAAGTGAGCACACTCCTCACATTTTTGTAAATATTTGATTATATCTTTTCGTGTGACAACACTGAAGAAATGACACTTTGCTAACTTTCTCTCAGGGGTGTACTCACTTTTGCTGCCAGCGATTTAGACATTAATGACTGTGTGATGTGTCATTTTGAGGGGACAGCAAATTTACACTGTTATACAAGTTGCACACTCACTACTTTACATTGTAGCTAAGTGTCATTTCTTCAGTGTTGTCACATAAAAAGAGATATTATGCAGCAGCTTATTACAACTCATATTTAGTTAGGCTGCGACCTCTAGTGGCTGAAGAAGTCAGGTGATGTAGTATACACAGTGACAAAGTCCCTGTGAGGAGGTAGTGGGGTGGATGTGTCAGGTATGTCCCATGTAAAAGAAAGTCAAAGCTAACATGTTTTAAGTTAAATAATGTTCTTTTCCTAAACCTAAACAACAACAGCCATTGCTCAATGTTTTCTGTGTGTTAAAGTTACGCAAGTCATGTGACTTAGGTCTGAAGGTCAGTAATGCACTGAAGCTAAAACAGCAAAAACAGCAAAAAACTGGCCCAAATTATCTCAATCCTGCCAAAATCAGTTTTTTTTACACCCATTTAAAGTTCAAGTATGTAATATGAATAATGAAAAGGAGAAGAGGAAGTAGTAATAGTAGTAGTGGCAGTACTAGTAGTCTGGTTTGTTAGAAGTAAGAGAAGTGAAATTTGGACCACACATATTATTTAGTGGAAGAACTGACAAAGTGTGTCGTCCAACTTCTCCTATCCTCTTGGAAAGGGAGGAGTGAGCAGTGGCTGAACAGTTGGTTGCAATTCTCAACCGTCACCACTAGATGCCACTAAAACTTCCACACTGAACCTTTAAGTAAAGAGTAAAAACTGCCAATCTGGCAACACGGTGAGATTCTGTAACTCCATACAATCTGTCAGTCGGCATGTCTTTCATCTGATGATGAAGCGTGTTCCTGGAGTTTGCCTACTCTAAAACAAATTAAAAAAAAAGTGGAAACTTTGTTGAAATTACAAAGAGTCCCAGTCTAACACAAATAATTACATAATTGTTTCTTGGTTTCTTCTATATCCATAAAAATCAAGCTTGCTTCTAAAGTAATTTTTCCATCTTTCTGTCCACAGCGATCACTCCTCTCCTGCTGTTATTGCAGACACGCCTGAACACGTTCTCGTCTTTTCATTTGAGCTGTGACACTGAACACATGAACGTCAAAGGCTTATGGGAGGAAAGCCACACAAATACTGATGACAAAGGCTCTATGGCTGTATTTTTAGTTTTGAATGATTTTGAATGGAGGTTTGAGGACTCCTGGAACAATACCCACAAGTTCCGGTCTCACGCTGGCGCTCTACAACATTTAAAGTAACTTATAAGGATGTGAAACAGTGTTTTACCCACCGTCCACCAGGCTGTCCATGATCATGCTGCAGAGCTCTTCACCACTGAGCTGCCTGCTATAGTTGGTTAGAGGCTTTTTCATCCTGTTGATTGCCACCACCAGGTTGGCAACACACTGCACCGTCATTGGGTTGCGGGAGACCACCAGGTCCAGTCCCTCATCAAGCTTGAAGATCTCATCCTGAACTTCCTGCAAATTAAACTTACTACTTAAACATAAATCACTCATCATGTCCTGCAGAAGGTGCTTCCTCTCGTCTGAGTCACACAAAGCCACAAAGTTCATGGTGGTTAAAATAATTTAGTGAAAATAATTAAATAAAAATGCCACTCAAGATATGTAGGTCGTTATTCACTCTGGGCCTCTCACTTACGCATGTTACCACTTCCACAAACACAGGTGTATTTTCACTTTCACACAAATGTATTTGAACTCTTTCGTATCCACACACACTTCTCTTCACACTTTACACATACACTGTATTCTTACAGACATATTTAGCCTTTTTCATAATATATAATAACTTTAATCACATATATATTGTTACTATCTTACTGTACTTAACTCTTGTATACACATATTTGACTTTCATTGGCACAGGTAGTCCCTCTCTAAAGGATACGTTTGGTGATATTATCTATTATAATCTATTACTATAACAAGTAATACTTACTAACAAGTTGTGTGTGTATCCAAAGATATATATTATTCATATAATATTAACACTTTAAAATGAATAAATGTTAGATTATTGAATCAGGACCTTCCAGTGTTTGGATCAAGTAGCTTGTGGAAAAATAAGGTTTATCAGAGAAAGTATCAGCTGTTATTTCAATATGTAAGATACATTTAGGTAAAAATAAGCATCGGATTGGACCTGGCAATATTGAAGTACTCTTTAAATACTTGATCGGGACCATCCTTATTAAATGTATACAGTATATTGTGTTGTATTCATATATACAAGCATTCTCACCTCACATAGTGTGCATTAGTATATTCTTTATATTTATATATATTATATTTATATTTAATATTAAACCAGTGCATCTGAAAGTAAGAATACATGTACATGAGAGTAAAGGTACACTGTAACAGTAAAAAAAATATAGACCCAATCATGGCTTGCATTAACTCTCATAAATAATAATTCATCTTACCGTCATGTCAAAGCAGCAGGATTCAAATCCTGAATCACCTACATCAGGTGAGCTGAAATACATAACAGATAAATATCAAATAAAATTTTCCAAATCAGCAGTCAAAAGGCTTCAATTTATGGAAAATGTAACGCTTTTAAGTTTTTCACATGTAATCTTAATTTGTCCATTATTCAGAGAAGAAAGCATTTAGAGAGACTCATTTTGTTAGATTTAAAAACTAACCAGAGTAGACTTTCTTCTACTTACGTCTCTAAAGCATCCCTCAGATCGAAGTCGCACATGGTCTTGATGTAAACTGCTTAAAGAAGTTTGAAGAACTGAACAGAGTCTTTTTCCTCCGTGGCTGATTTCTCTACAGCTGCAGGCTGAATGAGCTCCTCAGCCTCTTAGCTTCCTTTTTTCTAGTTCAAACTTACATCACGGACCACGTGACGTCCAACAGCAACATTCACCAGTGCAAGTGGAAAATTTAAAAACACGCTCGCCGTCATTTCAGGCTGGTGGCGATTATTATTAAGAGTAAAAACTGTTGTGATGATTCAGACTTCTGCTGGTTCCTGTTTAGTTTTTATTAATTTTATGATGTGACAATAACAAGACAGATGCACTCAAACAGTTTGCACTCTCAGGTCATGTCAGTCCTCTAGCCTTTTCTTTTCTCTTTGTATGTGCTTCCCTGTTTATGCCAGATAATCTGTCCTCTTTGCGTCAAGTTCAAGTACAAGTATAAACAACTTATATTAGGCAATTAGTGAAGAGCAATATCTTTGCAAACACAACGCACACATAGTATAACCACATCCACAACATGCAACCAGGTAAGTGCATCCAGAACCTAAATAAGTACTAATAAAATGCCAGTAGGTTATGTAATGTGCAACGCAACAGTGCAATATAAATAGTATGTGCATATTTGAACCCCATAAAGGGACCGGGAGGACAGGGAGTTTAAAAGTCGCCATGGTTGTGGTTAGAGGTCAGTGGGTGAGTGAGTTTGTAAAAACAAGGGTTTCCTTTATTTGCAGAAATAAAAATGAAATACAGACAAGAATGATAAATCTCATCAGCTTCCAGTTCACTGTTTTACTCTTTTCACTAACTGATTTCATGTGGTTTTATTAAGGAAGTGTCAGTGCCAGTAACACAGGAGAAAAAATCCCCACATCCCCATCTTCACGTTTTAGGCACTGATTAGTTGGTAAGTTAGTTGAGGGTGAGTGAAAATGTTACGGTAAAAATATATCTTAACATGCCGTAACGATCCAACATGACGCATGATAAGAGACAAAATGTGTTGTGTGGTTTCCATCTCAAGTAGTTCTGGTCATCCTGTGATGGAAAATATTGTAGTTGCGAATATTTCATGTTGAGAAACACTTGTTGCTGTTTCATAATGTTTATAGACACCGCATTTCATATACAGTATTGCAGAAGGTCTACACATGCAAATGAAGGCCTGAATGAGTCCTTGCTGGGAAACTCTGAAGTCTGGTTGAAGTATAAGGAGGACAAAGGGCTGGTGGAATTAAAACTCCCACTAAAACAATTTAGCTTAGGGGAGCATGAATAAACTTTTACAGCAATCTGTGAAATAGTTGAGATATAACCACAAATGTCAACCTCAGGGGGGCCAGAGGGAAAAAGAACAAAGCTAAGGATTATAAAAGTCATTTGGAAAGCATGAACGTCAAAAATGTACACGTCAATTTTTTGCCTGTCCACCTGGACATATTTAACTGAATTATTGATAAAGTGACCGCTTAGAAGCACTAGAAGAAACATCAGGGGGTGACCAAAGTCAGAATGAGTTTCCTGGGAAGTGATGAAAGGACAGCATTGTAAGTGGGGGATAAGTGGCGGCGTAGACCCCCTCCCATGTTCAATGACGGCTTCTCAATCCCAACCTTTTTTCTTCACATGCTAGATAGCGTGATAGATTCATTACAAACTCTCTTACTCACCACTGGGTATAATATTCAAAAGTGAATTGTCCTGCTTTATATACACACCGCCTCCAATAAATATTCCTGATCTTAAACTTCAATACATGGAGACCCAAAACGATTTTAAAACTACAGTGAAATCTATTGAGTTGTCTGGGTGCAAATGTTTTCTCCGTTCTTTTTAATGTTACTCAATTCTACACGTGTCACTTTATTTTTTTAAACTTTGAGGCTACTGCTATTGTTGGCCAGGGCCCGTATTTATCAAGCTTCCCAGAATTACTCATAAGAACAGTCCTAATTTAAATGAAGTGTAGGAGTAAATCTTAAATGTTAGTCTCATTGCTGATTCACAACAATTTGCTGTGCCGCAAGTGGGATTTTGGATGACGACACAGAATAGATTTCCTTTTTTAAGAAAATTCTCAGATAAGTTCACATTGAAAGGTGAAATTCCTAAGAGGAGTTTACATTCAACACACATTTAACAATAAAGACTTTTTAAGAGAATACATTTTGATGTACACATTGAAAATGAAAGATAAAAATGTTGATATTTAGAAGAGTGCCATCAATTGCGTTGACAAAAATAATCAACTAATAAGTCAACTAATTCAGAAACATTCTTCCCCCCCTGAAATATTTGCGCATGTCTCTGTCTCCACAGCGCCATCACAAGCCCCTTCTGGCAGCTCCTAACCACTTGAGAGACCTCGTTAAGAAATTTGATAACTTGCTTTTATACTTAAGTTTGAAAGTAGGAGTAAATTTCATGAATTCTCAGCACTTAAGACTAAAATGGCACTTTGAGAAGCTTGATAAATACCGGCCCTGGTCTCCTTTGTAAAACAGATCTATAATTTCAGTGAGACAAGCCTGGAAACATAAACAAACGACCCAATACATTTATGTAACATTTGTGTTTTGTCATCTCCACTTGAACCCGTCTCATTACAAGAGTTTTATCCAGCAATCAATTGCTTGGCATACTTGTTTTTGACAAAATATGTTTGTTTTTCTTAAATTTGGGAGAGTTACCCGAACAACACGTGGGTGGTGAGGATGAGTAACAGTTGTTACTGAAATTACAACTACTTTGACCACTTGAAACCAATATTTCAGCTGCTTTCACTTCTTCAGTGTTAACTGATCTCAGACAAGATTCCACAAGAAACAGATGATTCTTGTTTCAGGATCTCCTGAGTTGACATTATGATCACATACAAAGCTCTTTCCCTTTTAAAGGTCATCGGCCTCCAAAAGCCGGCTGATATTTACTTCTGTAGATGTGGTCACATGCCGTTGTTTTTCCTCTCGCGCTAATTATGTATTAAAGATTTAGGAAAAATAAAAAGACGGTGTTAGGATGGTTCTCTGCAGGTTAGAGAGATATGTCACAGATCACTGAATCAGGGTTAACCAACCTTAACAACTTTGTCTTGAGGTTAAAATAACAGAAACCAGCTTTGACACAGTGCATGGTTTAAAGAAACGGTCTCCTTGTGAAACGTGACACTAAAGCACACTTTACTTTAACTGTTCAGGCATGATGAGCTGGTTACTTGGTATATACCTAAGTTTGTACTGGTCCGTACTGCTTCAGGAAATAGCCACAGCCTTGCATGCTGAGTGTTATGCTGACCGCAGCGCTCACCTTTTCCCGTTTATACAGCTTTTATAGTATACCAAAGTAACTGCCAGCGATCAAAAGGGAAGAGCCACAATCTTAAACTGCAATCAAATGACTTAAGTGTGTGTGATAAAGTGCTGCTTGTTCGTAGCTGTCCACAGTTTTAGTATCAAACGCCTAAAACTCTCTCTGGCTTCATTTGTTTAAGTTTCAAATCGGAGGTAAGGCTGGCAATATGATGCAATCTTTTAGGAAAATCCGTGAGTTGATTTTATTAATCAAGCCTCCTTACCTCTGTGTGCATTTTACCGACCACAAACGTGGGGTGGGGAAATTACGGGAAAATTACGGGGGGGATTTCCAAAACAGAAGGTAACAGACAGAGTAATAAAAATACAGCAGTTATAATAATGTGTTCCTTTTGTTGCACCTTTAATGAGTTTAGCCCGGTGAAGAGAGTACACATTCAGAAACGCATCATTTGTATCACAGCAGCAGGAGATGATGAAATGTAGGCTACTATAAAATATGTGACTTGGTTGTCTGTGGGCAGGAAGTGGTAGTTGTGTACATGACACCTACACAGAGGTAACTTGTTGTTGTTGAATGCCCTTGAATGCCCTTGAAAGAGAGGCCATCCTTTCACTGCTCACAAGTGTTAAGACTGTTTTAAAGTGTTACTATGGCTGTGTGCAACAAAATGACCTAAATTGGCACCGAACGATTTACAAAACGTTTCTACAATTGTAATCAACATAAATGAAGGCTTCTACAGGAAAACATCATCATCCTTTGAAGCTTAAAAGAACTTCATGTCATGGAAAAGTTATTTTGTGTTCGTATATTCTAGATCCATTACACATGCAGTAAAATATTTCAAGCCTTTTTCCACATTATAATCTTGATGATTAGGTTATGGTTTACAACTCATGGAAATCAAAACTCCACCTGACGCCCTGTGGGGTCATGTGTGGGCGTGGCCAATCTCTATCCCTGAGGGTGATTGCACTCTTTTTCCCTCCACAGGTTCCACCTTTGCCTTGGTTTCTGGACATGCTGTTTTAGTTGTAGTTTTCTTGTTTCTTGCGCATTACAACACCTTTACACCCATTTTCCATGAATCCATCGTCCTGCTCGGGCATGACTGAAACCACAGACAGGGTGCGAACTACAGGGGAGCCGGGAGGAGCTTAGCTCCCTTAAATAAGACATCACCTCCCCTCGAAGCATGATTTGTGATATATCTGGGGGTCTCTTAAATATTGACAGCTTGCTTTATTGACATTAATCTCTACATTTCTCTATCATCATGGATCCATGCGTAAAATCAGGTGCGTCAGACTTCATCCAGACAGAGGGAACGATCACCGACAGTCCGCAGCGGGCCAGTCGCCACGCGATCTCCCGTCCCTGGTCCGCCCCACTCTCTCTCCGGTACAGGTTGTGTCACTAGTACGACCGACGCACTGTGAACGGTTCGTGATCGTTCCCTCTGGCTGGATGAATATTACGCACGATCCATGCGCTACTGCAGCTGGGGGCTCCCCGCAGCGCCACGCAACTTTCTAAATTCTTCCCTCTCACGAGGAAAGAAAGGTCGGGTCGCAAACACAGTCGCTACTGCTGTGTGAAAAAAGGCAACATATGATAATAATCATAACATGTCTGATACTTTTACATTGGCACAAGTCTTAATTTGGTTCATTTTGGTTTAAATAAACAAATTTTACTAAATGGTTGCCATGGTGCGTCTCCCTTTTGTTGTGTTAAATTTTTCACTCTTTGTTTCATTGCAGCCATTTTCCAAAAATCAAAAAAGTTCATTTTATTTCTCAGTAATGTACACTCAGCACCCCATCTTGACAGAAAAAAAACAGAAATGTAGCAATTTTTGCAAATTTATTAAAAAAGAAAAACTGAAATATCACATGGTCATAAGTATTCAGACCCCTTGCTCAGTATTTAGTAAAAGCACCCTTTTGATCTAATACAGCCATGAGTCGTTTTGGGAAAGATGCAACAAGTTTTTCACATCTGGATTTGGGTATCCTCTGCCATTCCTCCTTGCAGATCCTCTCCAGTTCTGTCAGGCTGGATGGTAAACGTTGGTGGACAGCCATTTTCAGGTCTCTCCAGAGATGCTCAATTGGGTTTAAGTCAGGGCTCTGGCTGGGCCATTCAAGAACAGCCACGGAGTTGTTGTGAAGCCACTCCTTCGTTATTTTAGCGGTGCGCTTAGGGTCATTGTCTTGTTGGAAGGTAAACCTTCGGCCCAGTCTGAGGTCCAGAGCACTCTGGAAAAGGTTTTCGTCCAGGATATCCCTGTACTTGGCCGCATTCATCTTTCCCTCGATTGCAACCGGTCGTCCTGTCCCTGCAGCTGAAAAACACCCCCACAGCATGATGCTGCCACCACCATGCTTCACTGTTGAGACTGTATTGGACAGGTGATGAGCAGTGCCTGGTTTTCTCCACACATACCGCTTAGAATTAAGGCCAAAAAGTTCTATCTTGGTCTCATCAGACCAGAGGATCTTATTTATCACCATCTTGGAGTCCTTCAGGTGTTTTTTAGCAAACTCCATGCGGGCTTTCATGCGTCTTGCACTGAGGAGAGGCTTCCGTCGGGCCACTCTGCCATAAAGCCCCGACTGGTGGATTGCTGCAGTGATGGTTGACTTACTACAACTTTCTCCCATCTCCCGACTGCATCTCTGGAGCTCAGCCACAGTGACCTTTGGGCTCTTCTCCCCCGATAGCTCAGTTTGGCCGGACGGCCAGCTCTAGGAAGGGTTCTGGTCGTCCCAAACGTCTTCCATTTGAGGACTATGGAGGCCACTGTGCTCTTAGGAACCTTAAGTGCAGCAGAAATGTTTTTGTAACCTTGGCCAGATCTGTGCCTTGCCACAATTCTGTCTCTGAGCTCTTCAGGCAGTTCCTTTGACCTCATGATTCTCATTTGCTCTGACATGCACTGTGAGCTGTAAGGTCTTATATAGACAGGTGTGTGGCTTTCCTAATCAAGTCCAATCAGTATAATCAAACACAGCTGGACTCAAATGAAGGTGTAGAACCATCTCAAGGATGATCAGAAGAAATAGACAGCACCTGAGTCAAATATGGGTCTGAATACTTTTTTAATAAATTTGCAAAAATTTCTACATTTCTGTTTTTTTCTGTCAAGATGGGGTGCTGAGTTACATTACTGAGAAATAAAATGAACTTTTTTGATTTTTGGAAAATGGCTGCAATGAAACAAAGAGTGAAAAATTTAAAGGGGTCTGAATACTTTCCACTGTATATTCCAGTGTTTTAGAAGTGAATAAAGTTATTATCCTATTTTTAGGTAATAAACATGAAATCAGGGCTTCTGCAGAAACACATCTGCACTTTATCTTTTAAGAAACATTAAGGGATTTGACATTTCAGAGAGATTTAAAATGATCTATGCAGCAGAGACATATTGTTATGTTCAGTGGTGGTTATGGCAGAGTTGAGCAAGTTGGAGGACCCAAACGCAGGACATGTAGGCTAGCAGGTAAAGTTCGGTTTATTCAAGGCAACAAAAAGCGAGCACACTTACAAACTGAGTGACTGATGACAAAGTCCAGAAACACAAAAGCTGTCCAAACAGAAACAGGGAAACACGAGGGAGACTAGAGACTAGACCCAAAATAATGTAGACAAGGAACCTGAAGTAAATACTAAAACAAGAACCAAGGTGCAGGAAGAAGAACTAAGATGAGAGACAAGACAGTGACTAAGAAACTAAAAACAAAAGAACCAAAATAATAAACTAGATTACAAAACTCTAAACCAAGACAATATCAAATAAACACAGGAAAAACAACAGTACAAAAACCAAATCCTAACACATGTAGCTATATCTAGTATGGATTAGACTCCACATTACAATATTTCCATACAACATACATTATTTCCCTGTCTGGTACAAGACTAGCGGCTTCTCGCCTGGTAAACCCCCACACATTTTCTTTTTAAGTTTATTTTTAACCCCTAAAACTTAATTTACTGA